AAAAGATACTCAACATCACTCATCATCAGGGAAATGCAAATGAAAACTCCAATGAGATATCACCTCACACCTTTCAGACTAGCTAAAGCCAAAAACACAAGAAACAACAAGTGTTGGTGAAGATGTGGAGAAAAAGGAACCCTCGTGCGCTGTTGGTGGGAATGAAAACCGGTGCGGCCATCGTGGAAAACAGTGTGGAGGTTCCTCACAGAATTAAAAGCAGAACTGCCTTACGATGCAGTGATGGCATTCCTGGGTATTTGCCCCCCAAATACAAAAACACTAATTCAAAGGAATCAGCCCTGTGTTTATTGCGACATTATTTATAATAGCCAAACTATGGAAACAGCCCAATGTCCGTCAACAGATGAATGGATAAAGATGTGGCATGCGTATGGAATATTACTCAGCCATAAAAAAGAATGAAATCTTGCTATTTGCAACAACATGGATAGAGCTAGAGAGTACAATGCTAAGTGAAATAAGCCAGAGAAAGACAAATACCATATGATTTCACTCTTATGTGGTTTTTAAGAAAGAAAAGCGAGCAGAGGAAAACAGAGAGAGAGAGAGAGAGAGAGAGAATCCAAGAAACAGACTTTTAGCTAGAGAGAACCAACTGGTGGTTACCAAATGGGAGGTGGGTTTGGGGGATGGGAGAAATAAGGGATGGGGATTCAAGGGTACATTTATCATGATGAAAAAACATACATAAAAAATCATTAAGATGGTAAACTTGAGAAGAAAATGAAACTGCAAAAAATATTTACAAATATGTACGTTTCTGTTATAAAAGGGTAACTTTTGCCAGGTTTTCAGAGCTTCTCCTGAGTCTGCTGTTTCTGCAAAAGCACCAGGCAGAAACAATCCCATGTCAAAGAGGCATGATTTGGGGTGGCAAATTCTGCTCCCCTTCAGGCCCCAATTCCCATGTTCGCTTCAGTTGTATACCGATCCGATGGCACCGTGCTAATGGGGAAGTATTTGCAAATGACGTGTCCCTAAAGTCACTCCCCACCCCACGTGTACATACACACACACACACACACAAAGACTGCTAATCTAAAACACAGCTACACTGTCAACTCCTATCTGCAAGAGAACATTTTCAAAAGTGGTATTACGCTGCATGTGAGCTTGCAGACAGATTACCGAAATAACAGATTCATTTTTCTCGGTGCTTTTTAGGCCTCTGAAAATTACTGTTTGAAGCTGAACTTCACCAGCTCTCAGGCACTGAAAGTGACAGATTTACGTGGGCACTAAGATGATAATAAGAGGGAAATTGCTTCAGCCGTCTTTCCTCACGTGTCACTGATGAAAACAAAATAGCATTTTCCACAAGTGAGTATAGGCTCCAGGTAAAATTACAGTTCCTTACCCTTATCCTGACCCTAGAGTTCCTTCAATTGTTTATTCGTCTTTCTTGTAAAAAAAAAAAAAAAAATGCTTTGGTGTTGTGGATCCATGCCTATAAATATGGAGTCTTTTTTCTCCCCCAAATTAATAGAGTATAACTTATAATAATGAGCCGTGATAGACAAATAAGCAATTCAATTGCAGCATAATTATCGTTAATGGAATTAAGTGTTCACTGTGTTAGAGCACAAAGATGAAATTCTATTTTCCAAGCTTACACGGTATCCAGATAGGTAGCCAAACGAGAATTTCCAGAACTTCAATCTCTTCTTGTTAAATGTGATTAAGTGCCAGTTTCCCGCTGTGGATATTCCTGCTCTGGATGAGGCCAATAATAAAACACACATCTGATGAACAGACAAAATTCTCTGCTTCTTCCATGTCTGCTTAGTAAGGAAATGGCGTGTGATGCCTAATGACTCACTAAATCCCAAATTTCCACCAATTTGAAACTTGCCACCTCCAACTTTTGTGACGTTTATAAAGATGCAGGACGGCGGGTTACCTGGATAAAGAGCGGAATGGTGTTGCAGTTTCAAGCAACTCATACTATTTGGCTTCATTAGTTAGCATGGGTTTGATTTCATGGAAAAGGTCTGGAACGTTAAAGCGTAAATCCAAGGCGGGCTACATTAATGAAACAAGGTGGCCATTAGACTGAGGTGTTTCTCATGCCAGGGCAGTCTACTTAAGCAAACCAAAATCCAAGCCAGTGAAGGCCTCAAAGTTATCAAGTCAAAACGCAAAGGGACAACTTATCACAAACAGCTAACTAGGCTTGAAGCTATAGCCAATCAAGTAATGTCTCGTTTTGCTTCCTTACATTCCCAGGATAAGTCTCTCCCCTGGCTTCCTGTTGGCCAGTGCTCCTGAAGCAGGCGGCCATCTTGTCACTTCAAACGAAAGCATGAACGCTGGAGGTCTTATCCCCCGCAGGCACAGCTGGACTAGCCAATGAACCTGGAGATATGCAACCCCACTAGCTTACAAGTAAAGATACGTTTTCAGATTCCAAGTCTCCTGAGATTGAAGAGACCTTCTGGGGACCAGACAAGATGGCGCCAGAGCTCCTGCTAGTATGATCTTATAGGCCTCCAGTCAACAACATCCATCTCCTCAGGGGACCCCCCTGCCCCAAATTTGGCCCTCAAAAGCCCTCACTTGTGAGCCATCAGGGAGTTTGGGACTTTGGATCATTAGCTCCCCATTCTCCTGGGCAGGGGAGTGCCACACCAATAAATACCCTTTCTTTCCTCACTGCAAAGGCTCAGCGTCAGGTTTTTGTTTTGTTTCGTTTTCATTTGTTTGTTTATTTCTTTTGAGAGAGACAGAGACAGCACGAGTGGGGGAGGTGAGACGGAGAATCCCAAACCGTCTCCACGCTATCAGCGTAGAAGAGCCGGATGAGGGGCTCAAACTCCTGAAACCGAGAGATCACGACCTGAGTGCGAACCAAGAGTCAGACGCTTAACGGACTGAGTCCCCCAGGTGCCACCTCGGTGTCTGTTTTTATTGGCTGGCTGTGCATCGGGTGACCGAGCTCTTTGGTTCATTTATACTCCTAACCGCTAACAGTTTGGCACAACCCTAGGTGAATGGATTCCTGCTCAAATAACCTTAAAAATTTGAATATGCCTCAGTTTATCTTTTAACAAGCGTGTGCCTTTGGTGATGGGGGAGAGGACTGCTTCATTTTGGCTAGACAGAAGGAAAGGGCCTAGTTTTAAAGGCATTTAAAATTTGCATCCCATCTTATCCGACACATTCTCGGGTGCAAAAAGTTACAATAGCCTCAAGTTCTTAAGGAAATTGTGGGGATCCTGTTCCCCAGCACGGTAGCAACACGCGACATATTTATGTTCTGATGCCTGAAAGAAAGAGTTGCCGGTAGAACAAAGCGCTGATTTTTATTGCTTTTCGGAGTTAAATACGGTCACAGTCTTTTTTTCCCCCTCTTGAGCACAGATGCACAAACAGTGGCTAGGGAAGAATTGCGAACACATGAGCTCACTTTAGAAATACACAAATTGAAAGATTTAAAATAAAATCGGTTCCAACCTTTTTCATTCTTCAGCTTTGTCCTTTTGTGATGTGTTATTTATAGCCCGAGCTTCAGGGGGGAAAAAAAAATTTCAAGTCAACTCACAGTGTAGATTAAACCACTGAAAAATGGCGACTGTGAGGCGTATTCAATAGTGTTCGGTAAAAGAACTCATTTCACCACGATAACGTTGAGACACTGATATGCGGCAAAGCGATTCCACAGATTTATAGCTTCATCATCTGCTTTGCTGATTGCTACTCTCTCAAGGACAAATGGGCTCTGAGATACAATTGTAAATATCCAGGATAAAGCAATGTTATGTCTACTCTGAGCGGTTACGCCATCATTAGGAAAAAGTTGCTAAATAAACTTAATTGAGCATTTTAGAGGGCTGTATAAAACATTTTTTATTTCTTCCCTAGAGGACCATGCTGGAGTTTTTTGTTTGTTTGCTTGTTTGTTTGTTTGTTTGTTTCAAAACATCATCCACTCTTTCACTGGCCATCTCTCCTTCCTACATGTTAATTGCCTGAGTGGATTGACGGGTCACTATTTTCACTGAGATGCAAAACGCCACTTCCCCAAAGCCATCCCAGTTTGGTTTTTTTTTTCCTTCTTTTTTTTTTTTTTTCAATACTGGAGGAATTTGACAATGACTAAGCCCATCAGGTACGAGATGAAGGACACTCAGAGTTTAGAGAAACACAAGAAAGTTTAGAGAGAAAAATCTGTTTGGAAAACAAGACCTGATTCTGCTAAACCCTCAGGGTAGGAAAAATAGCCTCGAAATGAGAGCGAGCAATGATTAAACACTAAAATGGGTTCCTTTCAATCACCTCTTGACATTTATATGGTATCATAACACCTCTGGTAACTCTTCTCGGGTTTATGAAAACAATAATAGAGCCACTGAAATTACTCAGCGCTTTATTTGAAAAGCTACAGACAAGTCCATTGGATAGAAAGCATTTTGTTGTTGTTGTTGTTTTAGTTACTAAAGCAGAGACATTTAGCTGTAGGGATGCCTGTTAGGAAAGCAGAGCAGAGATTCCTAGCAGTAGCTACTTTTTTTTTTTTTGCAAATACAAACGACACGGCGCAGAGCCTTGTATATGCATCTTTGGTCAAGTGGGTAAGCATTGCCGCAAGATACAGTTCCAGGACTGGGATAGCTGGAGGGGGCGTGCATTAAAAATGTTGATAGATACTGGAAAACTGCTCACCAAAGAGGTCACACAGCATATCAGGGAACTGCCAGAGTTTTAGCTTTAATCTGATAGGCAAAAATGGTGGCTGGTTGCTGCTTTGTTTTGCATTTCGTAACTAACGAGTGAGCCTTGTCATTTCGTATTTCTATGGCTCTTGAAAAAAATATACCTTTCGCAAGATTTTTAGAGCATCCCGTAAAGGCAAGTTGTAAGTAACGCCAAGTGTAATACAGAATCCTCTATTTTCAGCAATTTATTCTAAGCTCGATTTAATGTGCAGTCGCTGATTAGACTGATGGGAACATTTCTGTGACTCACCTAGGCATGTCCTAGTTTGGGGTCCTCCCAATTTGCAGACAGGCTTCATTTTAAAGGGCCTCTCGGAGGCAAGATGTGGATCACGTCTAACAATCTCCTTTCAACCATCAGTGATGGAAAGGACAGCAATGGGAAAGAAAAAAAATGAGAAGTTACCGGCCGGACCTTATTTAATCCTTGTTAAAATATATTTTACTGTTGAAGAAACACCGATTCGGAGAAGGTAAGCAACCTACCAAAATACTCATAACTATTTTTTTTGTTAAGACTCATAACTATCAAGTGGCAGATCCAGGGCTAAAATCTAGAAGAAAAAGAAGACAGTCGGGGAGCCTGGGTGGCTCAGTCGGTTAAGCATCGGACTCTTGGTTTTGGCTCGGGTCATGATCTCACGGTTCATGAGTTTGAGCCCCATGTCCGGCTTTGCGCTGGCAGCACGGAGCCTGCTTGGGATTCTCTCTCTCCCTCTCCCTCTCTCTGCCCTTCCTCCACTCGCACTGTTTCTGTCTCTCTCTAAATAAATAAACTGGGGGGAAAAAAAGAAGATAGAATTAAAAATATATAATCTAGAGGTTGGTTACTTAAGGTTTACTGGCTGTGTGACCTCAGTTCAGTTGCCTAACCTTCCTGTGCTTCTGTTTCCCAACATGAATATTGGGAAAATGCTAGTACGCGCCCCAGTACTCACTCACCTTATTGTTATTAAGATTAAACCAGCTGAGATATGTAAAAGGCGTGGGAGATCATCTGTGTGGCACGGGGCAAACATCATGGAGGTATTAATCATTAACATCATGAAGGGGTTAATCCTTACTATCTGGAGCCCGTGTCTCCCAAAGAAACATTCCAGGGCGCTAACTTCTCTCACCCTCCGTTCTAGGACTGCATGAACTATTTGCTACAGACAAATGTCTTCACTTACCCTCTTCGTATAAACTGTGGATCCCTCTTGCCTCTTGTTCCAAAGAACACTCGTCTCCCTTTATTTCCCAACCCTTGCTTCATTCTTTCTCTCCAACTCCAGCTTCTCTAAGTATCCCCGGAACCACACAAGGGGCCAAGGAATCATTCGACCTTTCCTACATGACCCCACCTGTTTTCCTGGTCACGCAAACGCCATGAAGGCAGAAGCTCTAATACGGCCCCTCAGCAGCAACCGCAGAATCAACGTGTTGCAAACCCAGTTAACAGCCTGCTTAGAAGTCAAGCTCTTCATCAAGACCTTCTAGGGAAGCAGTAAATATTCTCACTTGGGGAGGTAGAACCTGTATTGTATCAGCAGCTGGCATCAGAATTCTTGGGAATAAGGCTTCTCAGTAAAAATCATTTGCAAGGTCCTAGGAATGAAAGTGTTTGCTTTGGTTGGTTGTTTTTCTTCCTTTTGTGACTCTGAAAATGAGAGGAACAGAGGGAAAAAGTGAGATACCATCAAAGTGGCAGACTTTTGGGTACCATGGAGGGGGACGGGGTGAAGGAGCAGAGACAAAAATCCTCAGTGGCAAAGTTGTGTGATTCTTTTCCCTCTCTTTTTAAAAAAATGTTCATTTATTTATTTTCGAGAGGTGGGGGGAGGGGGAAAGAGAGGGACAGAGGATCCCAAGCAGGCTCCACACTGTCAGCGCAGAGCCAAGGGTGAGGCTGGAACTCATGAGCCGTGAGATCGTGACCTGGGCAGAAGTCAAGAGTCAGACACTTAACCGACTGAGCCACCCGAGTGCCCCTCCTTCTTCTTCTTTTTCTTTTTTTTTTTTTTTTTTTTTGGTAAATATTTTATTTTTAAGTATTCTCTACACCCAATGTGAGGCTTGAACTCACAAACCCGAGATCAAGAGCTACATGCTCTAACGACTGAGCCAGCCAGGTGCTCCTTTTTTACCCCTTCCTTTAAAAATTTTTTTTTCAACATTTATTTATTTTTGGGACAGAGAGAGACAGAGCATGAATGGGGGAGGGGCAGAGAGAGAGGGAGACACAGAATCCGAAGCAGGCTCCAGGCTCCGAGCCGTCAGCCCAGAGCCCGACGCGGGGCTCGAACTCACGGACCGCGAGATCGTGACCTGGCTGAAGTCAGACGCTTAACCGACTGCGCCACCCAGGCGCCCCTACCCCTTCCTTTTAAAAAACTGAGATAATTACAGGTTCACGGGTAATTGTAAAAAATAATACAGAGAGACCCCTCGTGTACTTTGCCCAATTTTCCCCAATAACCAAGTTCGCAAAGCTCTGGTACGATATCACAACCAAGATATTGACATCGATCTTATGCAGATTTCCCCAGTGTCACTTCCACTCGTTTGTGTGCGTGTGAAAGACTTTTAAACCCGGGCATCTAACGTTCCATTTGAAAACAGTTTCCTTAATTCAATGTAAACCTTCTTACCGAGTCTCTATGGGGTTTTTTTACGTCAATAAATTTTTGTTTTGTCTGGTTGCGTAAATAAGAAATAACACAAAATACTTTTTTTCCCGGTCTGAGTCAGAACAGTGCACAAGACAGACAGCACACATGGGTGTAAGAGTCGTGAAGTGAAAGTCATGAGAATGATCACACCCAAAATTGACAGAAATCGTTAGAAGGTGTTTCAAGTTCCATATTGTATGGAGTGGAGTTCAAGTGAGTCTCAGTTGAAAGGAGCGTCCACCCTTGAAGGAGGTTGTTGTTTATGTCATATGGTGTAAGGAACCCCATAGGGACCCTTCTCCTAAATCCGTAACCACAAGCCATACTGCTTTAAGAGCCACTGTTATGAACTTATTCACTTATATTCCTGAAGGCATTGCTTCTTTTAAAAAAATTTTTTTTTTAATTTTTTTTTTCAACGTTTATTTATTTTTGGGACA